CCAATACCGGAATTTTCGTAAATAGCAATTTTAATTTGCAAAAAGCTTTTTTCGCAATATTCTTTAAGTAAAATACGGTATTTTTGCTAAAAAAGTCCGTTAAAAGCACAATAATTTTCGCGTAACCCTTTACAAATTTCCAATAATACCCCGTAAAGCCCAAAAATACCTGGATGTTTTTAACGCTTTTCGGTATCCTTTACTTTAAAATTGCAATAACTTTATCCAACAAAATTTTAATTTCGAATTTGGTTATTTTAAACTTTAAAAAATCGATACTATCCGTTTCGAATTTGCATTTAGCCGGGCTAACGTAAAGTTTAAACCGTTCGAATCGTTTTAGCACCGTTTTTACTGCTTCGCAATGCTTTTTTTGTATTTTTAAAAAAATAAAAATATCGTTTAAATATACGATGCAATTGCTATTAATTAATTTTTTAAGCGCTATATTAATAAAGCTTTAAAACGTTATTAAAGCATTGGCCAAACCGAAAGGCATTACCAAATATTCGTAATGTTTATACTTGCAACGAAAAGCAATTTTCCATTCGTTTTTTTATCGGATCCGTATTTTGTAATAAGCGTTTTTTAAATCCAATTTAATAAAATACTGGCTTCCAAATACCCGGTTAAATATTTCGTAAATTAGCGGGAATGCTAGCCGGTTTTTTTTAATAACTTTATTAAAACCCCGATAATCGATACAAAAACAAAACTTTCCGTTCTTTTTTAAAACGAACAAGATTCCGGCGCCGGCGGGGCTAATTAAATGCCGGATTTAACCTTTTGCTATAATTTCGTCGAAATACCCTTAAAAAGTTTTTAATTCCTTTTTAAATAAAAAATAAATGCTTTCGTAAAGCAGCATCGTTTTTTTTTTAATTTAATTGCGTAATTCCAGCTTATATATTTTAGCAAAGGGTTCGATTTATAAAATTGCGCATATTTTGCAACTATTTTTTTAACCCATTTCGGAAAAGCTTTTAGCTTTTCCCCGGGGTTTTTTAAGGTTTTCGGGCGTGCAACCGTTAGCACGGTTATCGCTTGTCCCGATTGGATTAACTTTTTAGCTATTTCCGACAAAATTATTTTAACTTTTTTAATAATTACCGGAAACCTTTACTTTATATTTTTAAATCGGATTTTAATATCCTTTTGCTAAAATTAAAGCATGCTTAACGTAATATTGTACCCGGCCCGGAATATTATTACGTAAAATATTATTAATTTTCGGGTTATTCCCTAGCTATCCGTTACCCAAATTTTATATTTTTTTACCTTTAGCGTAAGCATGCGTTTTTTGGTATCGAATTACGCTAAATAGCCCCCGTTTAGTACCGGTATTTTTTTTGCTTTTATTAAAAAACGGTTATGCAATAAATTAACGTCGCTTTTATTATTAACCAACGCTTTTAACTTTACCCGGCAACCGTTAATCCGTAAATACATTTCGGTTTTTTAGCGCGTTTTAACCGCTAAAGCGCACTTTTAAACCCCGGTGCTTAAACGGCCAAATAGCGGTATCGAATTAAATAACGATATTTTGCTTTTTTTAAAGCACGCCGGCCGGATATAGCTTAATTTTTTATACCTGTAATACCGTACTTCGGGCCTTTTCCCTTTTGCCCTTTGTATGGTTGCTAAGGTTAACGGGGTTTCCGGGTTGTCCGTCCGTATTTTGCATGCTGCAGCAATATGGCTTAATTGCCCGTATTTAAAGCAAATAACCAGCTTTTTAAGGGTTAGGACATTTGTATCCCCCGGGGTCCTTTTATGCGATTCCGATATCATTTTTGCTTTAAAAGCTTTAGCTTGCAATTTTTCCATAATATAAAAAAAGCTTTTAAGTATTACCCGTTTTTAAATTTCGGGGCGGAGCCAATTAAAAAGTAATATCGTTTTTATCCATTTGGGTGCTAATTCGGGAAAATTGTTTTTTATTAAATCCTAACAAATCCGAAACGCTTTAAACAATTCGTAATCCTTTTATTTAATAGCGATATTTTTTGCAAGCTTTTTAATCGCTAGCTATATTTGCGAATTGGGGTTTTTCGATTTTGCTTAAAGCTACCGCAAAAAATCGGCCCAAATAAACGATACCCCGGTATTTAAGTAATGCATTTGTTTGTATTTTATTTACTATGCCCGCTAACGATGGTTAAAAGTGCTAAAAGTTATTTAAACCTTTATACGGTCCTTACCGTAACGTCCTTTTTCGCTTTCGAAAATAAATTCGTAATTATTAATGTAATAAGCGATATTTTGCCAAATTGCTAACTTTTTAAGCATAAAAAGCTTAAAAATAATTTTGCTTTACGTAAAACCCTTTCGTTGTTTAAAAGTATTTCTTTTATTTTCGTTTAAACTTTTATGCGCATGCTTCGACCCTTTATTTTAAATTTTTTAAATTAAACGGGCGCGTTTGTTTTAAGCCTTTAGCGCGTTATTTATTTTTTGCAATTTTTTTACGAAAAGGTTTTCGAAATTGTTAGGAATTTGCGGAATTTTTTTAATATTTTGTTCCGGTAGTTTAACGGCTTTTTCCAACGTACTTAACGCGGCGTTAAGCGTTATTGTAAGCGGTGCGAAATTGCAAATGCCTTTTTTAAATTTGTTTAATCCTTTCCGGTAATTATCCGGGCTTGCTTTTTAAATAAAAAAAGTATAAAAAAAAAATAATATATTAAAAGTTAATCGGTGCAAAAGCGGGTAATTACCGGGTTACGGGCCGAATGCGGTATTTTTTTTATTAAACTTCCGTAAATTTTTTACCAAAAGTGCTATCGCTAACAAAAATTGTTTTTTTTTAACCTTTTTTTTTTGTGCCTTTTTGGGCATTTGGGATTGGTTTTTTAAATTTTCCGCGCTTTAAACGCTTTCGTGCAATTTAAACTTTATTTTATTTTTTAGCTTTGTTATTATGCTTTGGCCGCAATACCGGTAGCTCGCCGGCATATCCTTGGGGGGTTTGTGCTCGGCTAGCTGCTAGCGCTTCTTTTTTCCTTTTTTGCCGGGCGGTTTCGCCCGTGCATTTAACGCTTCCCGCTTTTTGCCGGGCGGTTTCGCCCGTGCTTTTAACACTTGCTTCGTTACTTTTCGAAATTAATGCGCTTTTACGGTTACCCTTTAAAAGCGGAAAACGCTTGCTTCGTTACTTTTCGAAGTTAATGCGCTTTTACAATTAACTTTTAAAAGCGCGGTAAGCTTTTAAATCCTACGCTATTAATATAACAACCAATTTCCTTTTATTTTATTTACAAATAACCCAAAAGGCTCGCTTGGGGGGTATGTTACAAAGTAAATAATATATATTATTATAAAAAAGCTTTAAGCATAAATATTAAATGCTTAAAGCATCGAAAAAGCGGTCCCCTTGCTTAAAAGCGTATAACGCTTCCAAGCGTTAAAAAAGAAGCTTAATAAGCAAGGAGGACAGGGAGTTACGTGTATATAAAGGGCAGAGGCCCTTACGGGACCCTGCACTTCAAATCCTTTCCTCTTTAAAGCATATTAACCGGAATAGCCTCACACCGTGCTTATCCCTTCTGCTTGCAACAGCTATATATATGCAATAATTTGCATTAAGTTTTTAAAATTTTAAATTTTTAGGTAAATATTTTTTTATTACTTAATATTTGTATTTAAGCGTATATTTCCAATATACACAGTATATATTACGGTACGCGTCGGGGCATTTGGGAAAGAACCTAAGGCCGCACTCTTAGCGCGCTAACGTTACGCTTACAAAACCGCGACAAAACGCCAGGAACGCTTTGCCCAAATAGCTTTTTTTTCGTGCAACAATAAAGCCTTTTTTATAACAATAAAGTGTAAGCCGTGGCAATTTGTTGCACTTTAAATTTTTGGAACCCGATATTAACATGTTCCGTCCTTTCCTTTGCCAATAACTTTGTAAAACGGTAGCACATTTCTGTTAGGGGTTAATCGGTGCAAAGGCGGGTAATTACCGGGTTACGGGCCGGATGCGGTATTTCCTTTGTTAAACTTCCGTAAATTTTTTACTAAAGGTATTATCGCTAACAAAAATTGTTCCTTTTTTAACTTCCCTTTCTTTCGTGCCCTTTCGGGCACGCGGGGTCGGTTTTTTAAATTTTCCGCGTTTTATGCGCTTTCGTGCAATTTAAACTTTATTTTATTTTTTAATTTCGCTATTATGCTTTGGCTGCAATACCGGTAGCTTGCTAGCATATTTTTTGGAAAGTTCGTGCCCGGTTAGCTGTTAGCGCCCCTTTTTTCCTTTTTTGCCGGGCGGTTTCGCCCGTTTTTTTAACGCTTTTCGCTTTTTGCCGGGCGGTTTTGCCCGTGCTTTTAACATATTGCCCCTTCCCGATACGGCTTATCCCAAACCGTTTGTACCGCGCGTGCAACCCCGTAAGTAACCGGTAATTTACGGTATCCCGTTAAACCGCCCCGATGCTTGGCAACGCTTGGGAAAACCGGTTGTAAAGCTTTATAATATCCGGAAAAATGGGTTCGTACCGGCATATAAAAAGGTTTTTTTCCTTTTTTGCGGCCGCGGGCTTTTCCTTTTTTTTTGCGTTTTCGATAACCATTTTAATAATTTTAACGATTGTAACCGTAAGTAATTAATATTTAACCGTTCCTTTTAAATATTTAAATTTAACCGGTAATTGCAAATGTTATCCTTTGTACCCGATTACGTAAAAAAAGTGTTTTTCTTTCGGGTATTTGCTTTGGGTTTTTCGGTTTAAATTAACCCGTTAGCCCCCGTTAATTCCCCAATCCCAATTAACCCGTTAGCTTTTTTTAATTTTTCGGCCTTTTATGGCTAGCTTAACATTTCGGTTCGTTAAGCCTTTTTTAGCTTTTTGCTTTTTTATACCCCAGCTTAACGCTTTGCTAATAACCCCCCGGTATTTTTCCCGGTTATTGTAATGCTATTAAATTCGAACTTATTTAAATTTCCAATCCTTTAAATCCTTTATAATCGCTTTGCCGGTAACCTTTCGGTAAACTTTTTAAATGCCGCAAATCCATCGAACCTTTTTGCGCTTGCAACCTTTTAAGCTTTTTACAAACGTATTGCCGATAATTCCCCGGCGGGCTTTAACCGCCGCGGTAAAAAAACCGCCGCCGAAAAAAAGCGTAAAACGCGCAACGAACGCCGCCGCGGCGCTTTCGATTCCTATAAATTTATTTCCGAAACGGACATTGCTTCTTTTTTACTTTATATAAATATCCGCAACGCGCTCCCGTTGCAAAAAGTTATCGATTTTTAATAAAATAATAAATATAACCTTATTTGCTTATCTTTTTTTAAAAACAATTATACGGAACGTACGGTATTTTATAGCCGCTATTTTGGTTATTAAACATATTAAAACTATACCGTTAACCCCCGTATATCGATATGCTTTAATAACATTACGGGATTTTCCAAATGCATTTATTGCAAAAACGTGGTTAGCAATAAAACTTGTATCGAATTTTCCAAATGGTTTTGGAAAATGGCCCAAAATTTTAACAAAATTTTAAACGTTATTTACAAGCGATTTTTTAAAGCAATACCAAAGCTTTTCGAAAAATTTACTAAAGCCCAATTTCGCGCCCGCAAAGCTATTTAAAAAGCCAAATTTTTCTATACCATATCGGCCAAACAATTTGCGCGTTATAAGCGTTAAACCGTTGTTTAAAAGCGCATTAAACGCAAAATTACCTGCATTGCAACATTAAAAGCTATTTAAAACATTTTTTAATAACTTTGCGCCATTGCCGTTTAAACGAAAAAGTAAGCTTAAGCTTTGGTTAGCATTAATAATTTTTTAATAAAATAAAAGCGTTTTTTAAGCATTTCGAAAAAAGTGTGGTTGCTTTTTTTAATAACATTGCCGTTAGTTTTACTATAATTGCGGCGCATTTAAATACCCAAGCTTACAATTGCGCGGCTTCCCGTAAGGGTACGGCATTTGTATTAACGCTAAAAAGTGCCGCTTTTAGCGCCAACAATTTTAGCGGCAGCAAAAAAAACGTAATTTCCGGAAATTTTGGTTTTTTTGGATACGGCATTTAATTAATTTTCCTTACATATTTTTTAATTAATTACTAGTATTCCCTTTTCAAAAAGTGGTTAATTTTAAATTTTTTTCGTTAATTTATTATAATTAAAACCACAATTTCCTTTTGTTATATTGCTTTTGCAATATTGCGAAATTTCGGTATTTATATTTACCAGCTAAATTTTAATGCCCCAATAAATAATTTTAAAATGCTTTTTTTTTGCCCCCCAATGGGTTTAAATACCGCTAACATGTATTTGCCGTTACCCGAACGCTTAAGCCCGTTTGCCGTATTATCCGGAAATTTTCCCATTTCCTTTTCGGGCAAACAATGGTATTTTTTACTACAACGTACGTTTAAAATGCGGTAATTACTTTAGCGTATTGCGCTAAGCATGCTTTTTTAAAGCTTTCCAAAATATGTTACATTTTGCATGTTTTTTAAAATTTAAATATATTGCATTATTAATTTAAAGCGTTTTTTATATTATACCGTCTTTATTTAACTTTTTGTTTATAAAGCACGATATTTTACGGTTATTACAAACCGTTTACGGGTTTTTTTACGTTTTTCCCCGGTAACCAACCGATTTAACACGTTTAAAACATTTTTTTGGACCATTCCTTTAGCTTTTATTATTCCTTTTTTATAATACCCCCGCTTTTTCCGGGTATTTACCCGCTAAAGTCCGGTATTTTCCTTATTTTATAAGCTTGCTTCCAATAAGTTTGCTTTATACGTTTAAATAATTTTTTTCGTAATATTCCTTTTTAAAATTTACAAATTTTCCAATTTATTGTAACTTATTTATTTAACCAAATATTTTCGTTTTCGCAAAAGCCTTTTATATTCCAGCAAAGCTTTTATTTCGAAACGATCCTTTTTTTTTTTTCGATTTTTGGTTTTTTATTTTTTAATTTTTTGCCGGGCTTTTTTTTAAACGCCCGTAATAAATTTACCGGAAATACGTTATATATTCGGTAATTTACCGAAAGCTTTAACCGAAACGCCAAACCGGCTAACCCAATTATTTTTAAAATTTAAAAAGGTTCCAATTACTTGTTCGATAGCTTTTTCGACGGCCTTTTTATTTTAATGTTTGCCGTATTTAGTAATATTTAATTATTTACCCCGAAAAGCACCGGGGTTTTACTTTTATTATAGTACTTTTTGTACGTATTATTCGCTTTTTTTAGCAATTTTTTAGCTTATTTTTTAATTGCTTCCAAAGTTTTCGCTTTAATTTCGGCCGTTGCCGAAAGTTTTTTTTTAATTACTTAAAAATTATAAAGCTTTTGTGGGTAAAATTTTATTAGCAAAAACGCCGGGGTTTTTTGCAACCCCAAATGCACGTTTGTATTATACACTTACGCTGCCAAATGCAATAACAACGCTTAATTATTTTGCTTTTTGCAGCAAAAGTACCGAAAGTAATGCTTTATTGCTTGGTTTATCCGTTCCGTTTGCCCGTCGGTTTAAAAGTAATATATTGTTAATAGCCTTTTTGCAATTTTTAAATGTTCGGCAAAGGTTATCCAAAACCCGTTTGTAAATAGCTTGTTTTGGTTCGATACAATTCCTTTGGGCATTTTTAGCAATTTTTAAACGTATGCAAATAAAAAGTTCCTTAATTTTTTGCTAATTAATTTTTTAAACGTTGGAATAAAAAAGCTATATTTAATAAATCGATCGACCATTATTAATATTGCATTGCGCTTTTTGCCGGCTTTATTTACCAACGTTAAAAGCTTTTTAATAAAATCCATCGATAATTTTTATTCCGGGCGGTTTAGCATGGGCAAAAATGCTAGCAACCCGTAAAGTATTTGTATTTTCGGCTTCGTTTGCTAGCATATTTAATACGTTCGCACGTATTTGCGTACGTTTTTAGCCATACCCAGCCATTTAAATTGCCGTTTAAGCTTTTTTAAAGTTTTGGTTATCCCTTTATAACCCGCCGTTAAATTATTATATTATTTTTAAAGCATTGTTCGTTTAAACGGTATTAAATTCGGAATTTAAATTTTCTTTTTATACCGCAATAAATTATTTTTGGCTTTCCAAACGTTAAATTTATTTTTCTAAATATTGCTTTAAACGAAATTATCCGCTTTTTATGCTTCGAAAATGCGTTGCAATATTATTTTGGTATTTTTGTTGGTAATGGTTATTTTAATTTGGGCTATTATTTTAAATTTAACCTGTAAATTGCCCCGGAACTTTTCCTTTGCTATATTGGTTTCGCCATTTGCAAGCATATTTTGGGGGCGTTTTAACAATTTATCCGCGGGGTTCCGGTATTTCGGTTTCCATTTAATTATAAAATTGTACTTTGCTAAATTTTTAAACCACTTTACTTAACGTTTCGTTACTTTTTTTTCGTTATTATGTAAATATAATTTAAATGGTTAATAATTATTTTAACAATTTTTTGTAAGTAAGCTAAATAATGCCGTTATTTTTTAAAAACTTTTACGATTGCTAGCAATTTTAAATTAAAAGTTATATAGCGCAGCTTTTTTTATTGCAGCTTTTTCAATATGTAAATTACCGGGTGCTACCGGCCGTTTTGCAGCTGCAATAACACCGCTTTTATCGCAAAAGCCAAAGCGTTGGTTTGTACGCACAGCGATTTCGAAAGGTTAAAATGCACCAATACCAAAACTTTCGTAAATAGCAACTTTAATTTGCAAAAAGCTTTTTTTGCAACATTTTTTAAATAAAATACGGTATTTTTGCTAAAAAGGTTCGTTAAAAGCATAATAATTTTCGCGTAACCTTTTACGAATTTCCGATAATATCCCGTAAAGCCCAAAAATATTTAAATGTTTTTAACGCTTTCCAATATTTTTTACTTTAAAATTGCAACAACCTTATCCGGCAAAATTTTAATTCCGAATTTGGTTATTTTAAATTTTAAAAAATCGATATTATCCGTTTCGAATTTGCATTTAACCGGGCTAACGTAAAGTTTAAACCGTTTAAATCGTTTTAGCACCGTTTTTATTGCTTTGCGGTGCTTTTTTTGTATTTTCGAAAAAATAAGGATATTATTTAAATATACAATGCAATTGCTATTAATTAATTCTTTAAACGCTATATTAATAAAGCTTTAAAACGTTATTAAAGCGTTAGCCAAACCAAAAAGCATTACCAAATATTCGTAATGTCCGTATTTGCAACGGAAAGCGGTTTTCCATTCGTTCCCTTTCCGGATCCGAATTCGGTAATAAACGTTTTTTAAATCCAGTTTAATAAAATACTAGCTTTTAAATACCCGGTTAAATATTTTATAAATTAACGGAAATGCTAACCGGTTTTTTTTGGTAATTTTGTTAAAATTTTGGTAATTAATACAAAAACGGAGCTTTCCATCCTTTTTTAAAATAAATAAAATCCCGGCGTTAACGGGATTGGTTAAATGCCGGATTTAACCTTTCGTTATGGTTTCGTTAAAGTATTTTCGGAAAGTTTTTAATTTTTTTTGGATAAAAAATAAATGTTTCCGTAAAGCGGCATCGTTTTTTTTCCAATTTAATTGCGTAATTTTAGCTTATATATTTTAGCAAAAGGTTTAATTTATAAAATTGCGCATATTTTGCAATTATCCTTTTAACCCATTCCGGAAAAGCTTTTAGCTTTTCCCCGGGGTTTTTCGGGGTTTTTAAACGTATAACCGTTAGTACGGTTATCGCTTGTCCCAATTAAATTAGCTTTTTAGCTATTTCCAACAAAATTATTTTAACCTTTTTGGTAATTACCGGGAATTTCCATTTTATATTTTTAAATCGGATTTTAATATTTTTTTGCTAAAACTAAAGCATGCTTAACGTAATGTTGTACCCGGCCCGGGGCATTATTACGTAAAACACCATTAATTTTCGGGTTATTCTTTAATTATCCGTTATTTAAGTTTTGCATTTTTTTTTCCTTATGTAAGCATGCGCTTTTTGGTATCGAACCACGTTAAATGGCTTCCGTTTAGCACCGGTATCTTTTTTACTTCCATTAAAAAATGGCTATGCAATAAATTAACGTTGCTTTTATTATTAACCAGCGCTTTTAATTTTACCCGGCAACCGTTAATCCGTAAATACATTTCGGTTTTTTAACGCGTCCTAACCGCCGGGGCGTACTTTTAAACCCCGGTGCTTAAACGGCTAAATAGCGGTATCGAATTGGATAGCAATATTTTGCTTTTTTAAAGCACGCTAGCTGGATATAACCCAATTTTTTACACCCGTAACACCGTATTTCGGGCTTTTTCCTTTTCGCTTTTTATGTAATTGTTAAAGCCAACGGGGTTTCCGGGTTATCCGTTCGTATTTTGCATGCTATAGCGATATAATTTAATTGCCCGCATTTAAAGCAAATAACCGGCTTTTTAGCGGTTAAAATACCGGTATTTCCCAATATCCTTTTATGCGGTTCCAATATTATTTTTGCTTTAAAAGCTTTAATTTGCAATTTTTCCATAATGTAAGGAAAGCTTCCAAATATTACCCGTTTTTGGATTTCGGGGCGGAACCGGTTAAAAAGTAATATTGTTTTTATTTATTTAAATGCTAATTCGAAAAGGTTATTTTTTACCAAATCCCAACGAATCCGGAACGTTTCGAACAATTTGTAATTTTTTTGTTTAATAACGGTATTTCCCGCAAACTTTTTAATTACCAATTACATCCGCAAATTGGGGTTTTTTAACTTTGCTTAAAGCTACCGCAAAAAATCGGCCCAAATAAATAATACCCCGGTATCCGGGTAATGCATTTGCTTGTATTTTGTTTATTATGCCCGCTAATAATGGTCGAAAGTGCTAAAAATTATTTAAACCTTTATACGGTCCTTACCGTAACGTTCTTTTTCGCTTTCGAAAATAAATTTGTAATTGTTAATATAATGGGCAATA